GATCCCAGGACCCTGGGATTATGACTAGAGCTGAAGGCAGACGCCTAATGGACTGAGCCACCCAGGTGCCCCATGTGTGGACTCTTTAAAGAAATTCCTAAAAGTATATTATGTGCCTATGGCACCTGGATGGCTCAGGTGGTTAAGCATCTGACTCTTCATCTCCACTCAGGTCAGGATCTCAGGTCATGATCTCAGGGTCATGAGATCGAGCCCCGCCTGGGGCTCCACGCTGGGTGTGGAGCCTGCTTAAGATTCTCTCTCTCCCTCTGCCCCTTCCCCCACCTCAAGTGCTCAAACGTGTGCGCATTCTCTCTCTCTCTCTAAATATATATATATGTATCTGTATATATATATACACATACACATATATATATTTATGTATACTATGTGCTTTAAAGAAAACCACTATAGGGGAAAGCTGTCAAATCTTCTCAAATTAATTTTTAGGCTCATTGCCATTCCAGTAAAAAAACTCACAATTTTTAAAATTGTATATATTTAAGGTGTGACCTGATGACCTGATATACATTTATATGTGTAAGAGTCACCACATTCAAGTTCATTAATGTATCTATCACCTCACATAGTTACTTTTTTTCTTGTACTGAGAACACTTAAGATTTACCCTCTTAGCAAATTTCAAATACACCATGCTATACATTAAGTCGTCAGAATATATTCATCCTGCATAGCTGAGACTTTGTATCCCTTGACCAATATCTCACTATCTCCCCTCCCCCCAGGTCTTGGTAAATACCACCCTATTTTCTGCTTCTATGAATTCAAATTTTAAAAAAATCACAATTTTTAATTCTGCAAAATAAACATAAGGTATGTCTGGAGAAATAAGGCAAAATTTATGAGAACAAAATGAGTGAAAAAAACTATGAGAGGAGACTTGCCATACTCACATATTAAAATATAGTTATAAAAATTAAAACAGGTTGGGGGCGCCTGGATAGCTCAGTCGTTGGGCGTCTGCCTTCGGCTCAGGTCATGATCTCAGGGTCCTGGGATCGAGCCCCGCATTGGGCTCTCTGCTTGGTGGGAAGCCTGCTTCTCCTTCTCCCACTCCCCCTGCTTGTGTTCCCTCTCTTGCTGTGTCCCTCTGTGTCAAATAAATAAATAAAAATCTTAAAAAAAAAATTAAAACAGTTTGGTATCAGCACAAAAGTAAGGAGGAAATACATGATAAATGAAACTTGAACACCAACGGGAGAAAAGGATTATTCAGGGAATTATTCCAGAACAACTGATGAGTTATTTTAGGGATAGGGAGTCTTCATTGCCTTTACCTCATACCATTTCACCAAACACATATCAGTTGAATATAAAAGTTAAATATAAAAATTCAAATGGTAAAAAAAAATACAATATAGTAAGCATGAGCATTCATCAAATTTCTGGTGAAAGAAGTCTTAAAGGAAAAGATGACAAATGTGATTTCTTAAAAATCATGATTTCTAGTATGTGAAAAAAAATAACCAAATTCAAAAGACAAACAACAAATTACAAAAAAATTCATGAGTGAAATGAAGGTTAACATAAACAGGTAGTGTAAATTGATCATTAAAAATACAAAGTCTTCACCAGACAAATAAACAAAGGATATGATCAGATAATTTGCCAAATGGAAATTATAAAAAGCTGCAAATCTGAAAAAACTTAAACTCATTTGAAGGAAATGTAAATTTTCAAAGGGAAATAATGTTTCCCTATCAAATTATTTCATATATTAAGAGCAAGAGCCCTGAATGCAGGTACGGGTAAAACAGGCTTTCTTATTCCGGAGTAAAGAGTAATTTAACCTCTTTGTCGGTGATAGAAATCAGAAAGTCTTCCAATCGCCATGCTCTTTAGCCTAGTAATTCCACTTTAAAAATTATTTTCTTCGGAAACGTCCTGAATAGAAAAAAGAAAATGTAATATGCACAAAGATAACTATGACAGGATTATTTATAAACAAAAATCAAAGATACTGTTGATAGTAATATGAGTAAATACATGATGGTATATGATGAAATGTGTAGCATTAAAAATAAATGTTCAATTTATTAAACATAAATATTTACTATGGAGAAGGAATTTTTTTAAAGATTTTATTTGAGAGAGAGTGAGCGAGAGAGCACAAGTGGAGGGATGGGGAGAGGGAGAAGGAGACTCCCTGCTGAGCAGGGAGCCTGACCCAGTACTCGATCCCAGGACCCTGGGGTCATGCTCTGAGCTGAAGGCAGATGCTTAACCGACTGAGCCACCCAGGCGCCCTGGAAAAGGAAATCTTTATGTTACACTAACTGAAAAGTGGCAGGAAACAAAATTGAATGTAAAAGTATAAAAATAGCATAATAAATAAATACAAGCATATGAAATAATAAATGATGATAGAAATAAATTTGAAAATACTTAAAGGTGAAAGGTTAGTAAGAAGAAAAAGCCAAAATGTTAACTATTTATTACTAGGTGATGGAAATGTGGGAGATTTTTACTCCTCTTAAAAATATTTTTCGGGGCGCCTGGGTGGCTCAGTTGGTTAAGCGACTGCCTTCGGCTCAGGTCATGATCCTGGAGTCCCGGGATGGAGTCCCG